AATCCAAACAAAAAGGAAAATAAATAAATAAATAAATATAAATTTAAATTATATATTCAGCTTCCAGATTCTGATATACTCCTTAATGATGGCTGCCAGGCCCTGGATTTGGACATTGCTGTTGATTTTATTACTGGTACTGTGTTACTTCTTGACCTGTGCCTTTCATGTTTCACCTGAAAATTGTACAAAAAATTTAAATTTAATTATTGGATTATACAAAATAATTATTACAAGCATGAGTTGTCCAGGTTTCAAAAAATATATAAAAATAAAATCATAATGATTTTTGGTCACATGATAATTGGCAATTGCTCATGCTAATTATTGTCCAAAAATAAATTTAAATTCTACAAATCATTGTTAGGAGTTAGAACAGCTAATTTCAAGAGAGAAATTAATCTGTTTTTTATTTTATTTTATTTTATTTTTAAGATATTGACTTATGTGGGGTGAGATGTATATTAAAAAATTTAAAATGTTAGGTTGTACCAAGAATTTCTTTATAATAATCAGAAACAGGGGAATCTCAAATAGTTTGGTACTAGAAAAAAAAAATATATATCAAATCAAAGTAGTTAATAAAGCTAATAATTTAATGAGTTAGACCTGGAAATTTAATTCAAGAAATTCAAGAAAAAATGAATAATAAATTGAAATTTCACCTGCTTTTTCTTCTCCAGATCATGGTTTTTACTATTTACTGCCTCTAACTCTGAATTTGTTTTCTCTGTTGCCATTTTTTCATTCATTTTCTGCTTTTTAGCCATCAGCCCTTTCCTCACATCTGCAAGAAAAACACAAATTGAATAAAAAAATTAATTAATAACTGAAATTTAATTGAATTAATTGACAAAAATTGAACAAAAGATTTAAACTTGACAAACAAACAAACCTTGGGATGTCACAAGCCTATAGACATGGCCAAGGGCAAGAGTGTCAGTTGGCCTTAGAAGCTTGATTCTGGTTACCCTTAGAGGGGCATTCTTGTCATTATTCACACCGTTCGCGTTATTCTTCGCGGCGGTGGCGGTGGCGGTGGCTCCAGCGGCCGAGGAGTAGAGAGTGGTGGTGAGGAGAAGGGCCACATAATGGCCAGGATTCAACTTCATAATCTCATTTGCAGCAATTGGAACAAACATTGTATCCACTTTACCATTTGGGTGTTGGATAACTAAACTTGCACTATCAATAGCTTGACAATTGCCCATTTCTTGAAAAAAAAATGTTTTATTATTATTATTTTTTTTTTTTTATTGTATTGTGTTGAAGAATGAAGAGTAAAGGAAAAAATTGAAGAAAATTGTAAGTTGAGATGGAAATGTGTGAATGTTTTGTGCTCTTTTATAGGCACACTCCACAAGCCTATATATTCTTGAGCATGACCTCATTAATCTACATAGTCCCCACATTAGAAAAAATAATGCAAAAGTAGGGAATATTTTAGGAAATGAAAAGTTCTTCTTTTTCTTTCACTTTATAATTATTATTTTTTTCTAGTAAAGGGAGTCATTTATCTTTTAAATTCATGTGGGGGGTAAATTTTGGAATTTGTACATTTAGAAATACAAAAAAAAAAA